CTTCACCACCGAGTTCTGTCCAAAATTAATGAAATTAATAGACGATTTGGAAGGAGCCAGTTATTCATTCGCCCATCTTTTATGGAACAAATTAGAGGGCTTAAAATCGTCACTTGAACACCATCGCCAAGGTTATTTTGGTGTAAAAACATCTCGATTGCTCAATGAAAACGAAGAAATTGACGCTACACTGAAGAAAATGCTTATGAAAGCAAACGACAAAGCCTTTAATAAACTAACTCTCCATATGACTTTAAAAGACACAAACGAGGCTTTCTTACACATTGGACAGTTACTTAACCCATGTATAGCTGCAAGTTTTACTGTGAACCCGAGTGTACTCTCAGAAAGCTTTGCTAAAATTACTTTTTTTAGAACAATGACACAATTGGAGTACATAGATGGATATACTCACTTTCACAGATTAATCCTTCAATCGATACAAAGGAACGAAGATCCCAATGTGAAGGATATTTTGCTTGCTACACAATGCAGTTTTCCATCGTTTGCTAAAGCAGCATTACAGAGCATCTTGAGTCCAACGGACAGCGTAGATGCAGAACGATTCTTCAGCAAATATAATATTGTAGTGACAGATCGAAGAACAGCTCTTAAAGAGTCGAATGTCGAAATTACAACGATGTTAGCTTTTAATTAATAATGTTTTTTGTTGTTTACTCGTAGTTAAAAATAAATGCGAAATAAATGCGAAATTTTGTAATTATAAAAAAAGTAAATGCGAAATTCATGTTTTTTATTTGCGAAAATTCCGTACCTCTAACTATAAATTGTAAACTAAGAAATCGGTCAGAGAAACATAACATCAATAATTAAGACTTAATAAACATAAAAGATTTGTTAGTAGAGAATTTTCTTTCCAGATCATGTTGATGATCTCACATCCGCTATAATATCATTACACTCCGATTAATTTGGTATAGCTATCTGCAAAACTTTTCTATAATGTAACAGTTTTGTTTCAAGTTTTAACATATTTTTCTTTCTTATTTATTTATTATTTTAACCGTTATTTACAATATGAATTTTTAATATCTCTAATTTTCCGCAGAACCTTACATATGCTTAAAAGCAGCACTAAGTTATTCAATATTTATAAATTAGTTACAAGAATATCGTAAACGGACACCCAGTGGCCAGTCGATGATCGACATTGCCCTGAAAATAAACCAAAACCACGTGAACTGAACAAGTTTATCTCCCGTGCGATCATTGATATCTCCCATGCGGTCATCGTAGAGGTAGAGCCATGTAAGAAGAACAGAAGTTTCTATTAATAACCACTTTAGACGACCTTGAGAGTTCAGGCTAGGTCAGTAACATGCCCTCCGCAGTCCGCAGGATACACAACGCAGCAGCAACAGCAACAGAGTCGGCTACGAAACTATCTACGCCGGCTGTGAGTGAACGGCTGGGTAGAAGGTTATTTTTGTTTATTTAGAAATTCTTCGATATTTTTACGATTAACTCTATTTACATTTATAATAGATGGTGTTTTAACACGAGGACATTAAAACGAGATCCTTGTTTAAGCTCGTAAAAAAAGAAATAAAAGGTGTTACTTTCTCATGAGCATTGGAATCTTTGCAGTACCGAATTCATGAACGGAAAAACATACCAAGTGGCCAATATTGCATGTTACCAACGACTCGAAGCATTTATTATATGAAAAGAGAAGGTTAAGTACAAAATGAATTTAAAATATTGAAATATTAAAAATAAGTATAAGGAAAAATATAAACCAATCAAATCTAAAAGACCATACTATAATTATTTATTTCAAATAAAGGAACCATTATTCAAATATATTTACAGTAATTTTAATCTATTAAAGCATTAAAAATAAAAACAATAAATTTCATTATCAAAATTCCCTCATCCCATAATTATTCAAATAATGGAGAAAAAACTTCTCTACGAAAGGAGCACCCATACACCAAAAAAATGTGAGGTAGATCTGATAAACTATCGTCAAAAAGCACCTCATTTTTCTAGAGTACTTTGCATTGCTGATCATTTGCCAACCAAAAAAATATTAACATAAAATTATAATAAATATATTATACACCACAAGTTATAGAGCTCGTGCTCCATTTCATCTGTCTTGATTATGGGCTTTCTATGGACATACATCTCGGTTCAGTATATTGTGTTTATATAATATTGTGATAATATTAATCATCCATATTTTGTCCTTCAGTCCCAGTGTATTTCTAGTTTTTCATTGAAACTTACAACAATCATTGTCATTTGCGTTATGTGTGGGCTTTTGTCACGTAGTCAAAAATATTTCTAAATTGTCTTCTCAATACTTTGATGTAGCTTTGTATATTTCGGCTATCTTAAGTTACTTTGTATACATTTTTAATGTCGTTAGGTTTCTTTTCAGCTTGTTTGTATCCACTGCTAAACAAAGGCCAGTCCATGAGTTCTTCACCTTTTTATCTGTTTGATGCTATTGGATGCCAGTTTCTCGCCACTTTTGTTTCAAAGTCGTCTAGCCACTATTTTTGTGGTCTTCGTCTACTACGACTGTGTTCGCGCGGTCTCCAATATACAATGTTTCTTGTTCATCTCCAAATCATCATCCAAATAGAGCTCGTTTGATATCCCTCTGTGTTGTTCTATGGTCTGATAACACTGTAAGTGTCACGATCTCCATTCCATAGGTCATAACTGGTAGTAGGATACAACTGTTGAATATTTTTTTCTTTAGATTTTTTAATACCTTTTTGTTTATCAACACAACACTGAGTTTTTCTAATGCTGCCCAATTCATTCGGTTTCTTCCAGTGATCTCTGCCAATGAATTTTATTTGCTTAGTTGCATCTATGTATGTATATACTTTTTAATATTTTCGATCTCATTCCATCTAAGTCTATTGTCATATTTTAAGTTGTCATAAATGTTGTTGTATTTAAATTTATTTTTAAACCAATTTTTGCAGATTCTGGTTTAAGTTTCTGTAGTATCTAGAGGTTTTTCTCTGCATTGTTACTTATGAATAATGTGTCATAGGCAAATCTTTGATGACTTAAAGATCTGCCATCTACTTTAACTTTGCGTTGTTCCTGATTTAACTTCTTGAATAGTTCGTACATCTTTTAATGCAAGAGTTAACAAGTTTTTGAAGAGATCATGTCTTCCTATCTAATTCCTGTTTTTGTTTTTATTTTGCTTGTTGTTAGACCTTCTAATTTATTTACCTAGTTGCATTGCATTTCATGTACTTTAAGTGTATTCCATATCTGGAATCAATCCTTGCATTATAAACTCCTTTTAATACGAACCAGAGTTCTATGGAATCAAATGCCTTATTGTAATCCACAAATGCCAAATAAAGATATACTATACTTTTCTGTAAATGTCCGTCTTGTGAGTTGGTGTTTTATGGTACTATAATCATTGTCATTCATTCGACCTAAACTCTTCTGCCGCATTACAAAGGCAGTAACAAGAACAGCTATAAGAAATTTGGTAGTAGACAAATCTCTGAAATAGTGAAGGGATTCACCAGGACAAAGAGGCACTTGTTCATTAATATTTTAACTGGCTCCGGCAGTTTGGCGTCTATTCTGTTCTTTCGTCGTCCTAAGGAGCTATTTCATTTTTAATCTCTATTATGTTATTTTAACTTCCTTTTTTAGTAATTCCTGGTAGTGTTTCAGATCTTTTTAGCATTTAATATTCTTCGGCTTTTGCTATTTAGAGTTTTTAACAATTTCATACTTTTGTTTTCTCTGTATTATTTTCTATTGTTGCCGGTATTTTTGTCTCTGATGTCTTGCCATATAACTTTTATTGCCTTATCAATTTTCTTATATTCTAGTGAATTTCGATCCATACAGGGTTTGTCCATAATCATTTGTTGTGTGTTTTCTTTAATTTATAATTTTTTGGTTTTTAGATGTGGAGAATCGATAAATCTGTTACTATTGTCTCTGATTAATTAATATGTAATTATGTAATTGGTTTTATATTTAGTTTTTTATTCTGAGCTTATTTAATTACAAACTTGGTTAAACTTTACTAAACAATGTGTTCATACAAAATATGTTTTGCTCCTGTATGTAGGTTAGTAACAGTTTTTCTCTTTCGTTTGTAATTTTTAGACCATATATTCTCCGAATTGGTATATTACCGGGAGCATATACTTTTTGGATATACACGATTTGGATGCTGTACCTATCTGATATACTAGGAACGATGCATAAGACCCTCACTGAGATTTCATCAGTTTTTGTGACCATAATATGTTTGATTAGGTTATGGACCAATAGTGCTACATCGCCGACATGTGTATTACACTCATTATGAAATTGGTAGAACATATTTATGTCCAGACTGGAGTATTATACATTGTTCTCCTGGTACTCTTGTATCCTAGTTAGTTTTTTTAGTTCATTCATTCTTTCAGGTAATTTGGTTTTAGTTTTGAATAACTATACTTAACAGCTTGTTGCCTTTAGATCGAAAAATTATGATTGTTCGTATTTGGGATATATAAAGATTTTATATAGTCGAAGTAAAATTGTAAATTAATTACCGTTCTTTTATTTTCACAAAATTACGCACGTTGTTTTGGTCAGATATTCTCAGTAGCTAAATGGTCGCAATAAGTCCGATATTCTGGCGATATGTATGATTCGTAATTACTTTTTACAATAAATAATCTTTTTTATCATATAATACCATTTTTAATCAGAAATGTATTTGGTTGTAGTTATAGAACAGAATAAACCGAAAAATTTGGTAATAGTAGTGCTACTTTTTATACCCTTACTTATAGAAGTAATGTTGCCCGTATATATGTTATATGTACAATTTGTTATCTTATTTTAAATTAATATTTAGTACAATGTAAAATCATATCCTATGTTCAATTCTTCGATTTCCGACAATGCGTATACATATACATATGATTTTTTAAGATACACATAAAACTGTTCTTTTATGTTTATATCCATATCAATTTAATATTATGATAATAAATAGAAAATTAACATTTCTTTTTCTTCCAGGTAAGCGTGTATTCACTCACGAACAATAGCTACTTAATTGGTAAGGCTAAACATATAACAATATTATTATTTCTAATTCCTGGTAAAATCTTACGACAAAGAATGTTCACAGACCATTTTCTTGTATTACTCCTATAGTAGAATTATATATAGCTTCTGTAAATGTTCTCATGAAAGTTGAGTCGCTCCGGTCTTGCGTAGTCAGATTAAGGAATGTTTACTATATCTGAATTTGTCGTGGAATTGTACTTTTTCATATATAAAATACTTTTTTATTAAGAAGTTTTAACTCAATGTAAAAATATGTTGGTTAGAAGAGAATAATAGTAAAATCAATATTTACACAAATAAATATTAATTTTGATAAAAAAATTTTATATAAAATATAAAAAGTGGCCTAACTTATTTGAGACGATTGTAGTCAAATATTTCTCAATTATTTAAGTGAATGTATCAAAAACTAACTGCGTTTGTGCATTGTTCGTAAACGGTTGTATTCATTGCTGTTAAAAATATATGTGGACCATATATTAATTCCTATAATATGCCATTTCACATGTTTGAGTTCTTCCTCCCATTCCGTCATTTTCTCATTCTTAGATAAGCTTCTTGCATTATACGTAATTATGTGTAGCGTTCGTCGTTCTTGGTAGCCTCCTACAACCCGGGGATTCTTCGCACCCTCTGCCCGCCGTCCTTGGTTGGGAACTAGCGAGCTGCCGGGGACTGACGGCCGTTTTCTTGAATGTCTGTTCATGCTAAAGGGGTTTTGGCATTTAAACACCACGCTTGCCAGGCAGGTTGGTGAGTTGGTTTGGAAAATTGGTAGGATAGTAGGTATTGGCTAGGAATGATGTTAGAACATGATTTCTCATCACAGGAGTTGAGAGAGAATTAAGGCTCGCGAAGGGCTGGGTCGCATCCCCGAAGTAATGCTATCCTCTACTGGGATTGTGAAAGAGTACCTACCCGCTACCCGTCGGGTAAAGTCTAGTACTTATGACAAATCTCGTAATGAGTGGAAATATAACTATTGACAATAATACCATACAACAAACAGACACAAATATATGTGACACGAGATCAAAATAAGCAGAGACAATCAAACACATGAAATACAGAGGCGAATGGCCTGACATGAGCCGCATTTGGTTAATTAAGTCATATTCTAAAAAGTTCAATTCCCATGTGTCTCATGCAAAATGTTTATAACCAATGTGTTTTGCCTGTACAAACTTATGGAGCAAAGACTTTAACACTCACGAAAAAATCTGCAAATAAACTCAGAGTTACACAACGAGCCATGGAACGTGCAATGCTAAACGTAAGCCTTCGAGACCACATAACAAACCAACAAATCAGGCAAAGATCAGGAGTTCAAGACGTCATCGAAAGAACCACGACGCTTAAGTGGAACTGGGCAGGGCACTTAAGTAGAACACAAGATGGACGGTAGACAAGACGTACTATGGAATGGAGGACCAGAAACTATAATAGATGCCGATAACGACCACCGACTAGATGAACCGATGATATAAAACGTGTAGCGGGAAACTGGCTACAAGCGGCCAAGTGTAGAGAACACTGGAAAGAACTGAGGGAGGCATATGTCCAGCAGTGGACACAATTGGCTGAATGATAATATATTAATTGTGTTTTATTATTTCCATTACACTTATATTATTTTTACCAAATAACCCACAAAGATATGAAATGCCACTTAAGAGAATAAGAAAATAGTAAATCATCGGCAAGGAACGAATATTCATCTTAGAACATGTGCTACAGCAGACGACATAATATAATTTCGCACATAGAAACCGACGTGTATATTGTTGAAAGACAATAATTATGTTAGTCCAACCAAAGAGTCGTTTGTCATAGGAAGATCTACTCTGGTGTATTCAAACAGTATGTTTAACAATTGCTCCAGTTTGTTTCAAGAGGTTTTAGCATCGTAATAAACAACTGTAGTTACTTCTTCCTTATAAACTGAAGCCACCTGTAAATTAGCACTGGTCGTATATGTGAGGGCCTAAACGGTGTGTGACTTGATAAAAACTTCTAAGATGCTACAAATAGCTCAGAGGAAAATGGAAAGGTTAATGCTGAGTATATCGCTTTGTGACCAAGTTAAAAATGAAGACTGAAGACGAAGATTAGGAGTTAAGTCGCCTGAATCAGTGATGAAAGGTGAACGGAGAGATTGCTTGAGTAGAGATCAAGGTTAGACAAAAGAATTAGAGGAAGAAGGAAGAATCCCTACTGGTTGGGCTCACGATCTCAAGAAAATGTCATGAAATTGGATGAAAAGAGCTCAGAATAAAGTACAATGGACAAAAATGAGGGAGGCCTATATCCAGCAGTGGACGGAAAGGGCTGGGTAATGATGATAATAAACTCAATAACACAAGATATGCTGGACATTATGGATTTACTAGTAGCAGAAAATACACAAATTGAGTAATATCTTTATACAAATACTTTTGAGTGTGGTTCACAGAAGATCCTACGGTTAACAGAGTCGGAAAAAATTTTTGTTATCGCAATATCAATAAAAAGCTGCGTATAAGAATGCTAGTTTTATATAATCTTTTATATGGAGTTAAACTTGAACACTTAGCTAATCAAAATCTAAAGACCTAAGAAGCATTCTAAATCTGTTGTCACAGATGTATTATACTCTGAAAACATGATGGACGGACCGCAAAATAAATGCACAAATTCTCGTAAAACTAGGAAAACAATGTAAACTTTTAAATTCAATAAAAATCAGCAAATTGAAATACTTGACACAAAATATGAGAAGTCTTCTTATTCTTCATGTTTATAAGCAATTCAGCTTGTTCATTGGTGGATTAATATCTCTATGGAAGGTTGTCACTCCATCTTTTGCGCGGTCGTCCGATACTTCTTCTGCTGATTGGTGACTTATCTCTTGCTATTTTGACGACACGGGTCTCCTCTATTCTGCTTGTGTGGTTATTTCATTCTTTTTTTTTTTATTTTGTGTCCATTTATTTATACACTGTACACTGCATTTTCTTCTAATATTTTCACTTCTCTTTTCTTCTCTTCTCGATCTCTCAGCGTATTTTTGTAATTCTTCTCAGTACTCTCATCCCTGCCATTTCTAGTAGCCTTTGCGTTGTGGCTATGTCTGGTCTTGTTTCCAAGGCATATGTCAATATGAGTCTTATGCTGGCTTTATAAATAGAAAGAAAAATACAACCTCCCACGACTGATAATGCAAGGGAAGGTGAAAGGAAAAAGAGGTCCAGGAAGAAGAAAATGCACCTATTTGAAGAATGTAAGAGACTGGACAGGGTTGACACACATTCGATACTAAGAACAGCTTAATATAGAGAACAATTTGCTCTAACTATAGCCAACCTTAAGTAATAAAGAAGGCACCTTAAGAAGAAGATTGTTTTAGTTTTATGAGATGAGATTGCCATAATAAATTATTTTGCTTTTATGTCAAATCTGCGGACCAGTCTTTGCAGGTTAAGGCCAAGGACTTCGCAGGAAATCAAGTATAAGTTTATAGAATAAAAGCTTTATTCAACAATCCTTTATAAAAGGTACATACTTAAAATGGCCCTTTTGAGCTACATCACAGACCGTTATCGGAACAACAAATATATCAACAGTTCATTTGCTAGGTGTACATAAGTCAAGTTACTAAAGAACTCCAGCGATAATGAGATTCCATGCTAGGACTGCTTGCAATGTGCTTCCTTACAAAAACAATATCTCTTGCTGGGATAGCATTTGGATGTAGTCGAACAATTTTTACACCAATGCCAAAAATAATTAACTTGCTTTTGTTTTTTTTTTTAATAAAATAAAATATTTTGCTAGAAATACAATATGATAATATCAGCAGACAAAACCAAATGTATGACAACATTTAAATACCCACTATGATGTAAAATCTAAATTGATGGGAAAATAATAAAGCAGGAAGCAAGGTTTAGATATTTGGAAATAGATATAAGTAGTTACGGAGATGTTGAAGAAGAAGTACGACAACAAAGCTTGAAAGCAAGTAAAGCGACGGGTTCTCTTAATGACACAATCTGGAAGAACAAACACCTAAGACAAGACACAAAAACAAGAATCTATAAAGCAGCAATTAGACCTATATTAACATACACGGCGAAAACAAGACCTGACACATCTAAAACGAGACGACTGCTAGAAACAACAGAGATGAAAATACTCATGATGAATAGATGAATAGATGAATATCAGGGAGAAGTCTATTAGACAGAGTGAGAAGCGAAATCATAAGAAGAACATGCAATATAGAAGACATAAATTGATGGGTGACAAAACGAAAACAGGAGTGAAACGAACATATCAGTAGAATGGCAGAGTATAGAATAGTACGAATAGCACGAGATAAGTCACCAAATGGACGAAGAAGTATTGGCAGACCAAGAAAAAGATGGTGCGACAATTTAAATAATTTAGGAGGCTAATATTAAAGAAGAAACAGGCTTTAAAGCCTACATACTAGAAGGAAGAAGAAGAAGAAGAAGAAGAAGAAGAAGAAGAAGAAGAAGAAGAAGAAGAAGAAGAAGAAGAAGAAGAAGAAGAAGAAGAAGAAGAAGAAGAAGAAGAAGAAGAAGAAGAAGAAGAAGAAGAAGAAGAAGAAGAAGAAGAAGAAGAAGAAGAAGAAGAAGAAGAAGAAGAAGAAGAAGAAGAAGAAGAAATATTTCATCTGAGGTACTGAGAGTTACCAGGAAAATTTGTCTCAAACCCATGTGTGTTTGCAAGTATGCTTAAAAAGTGATAATAGTAAGATAATGCAGTGACCTTGTTGTACACGTAAATTCTTTGACGTGTACAACACTGACGTGAATTTTTTAATTCGTTTTATGGACTGTTTTATTGTGAACCTTTTTTATTGTATCAGACAAGCTAAATCCCCTTATTTACGAAATAAATATTTTTTATGCTAGGCAGAAATGTTCTCTAAGCTTTGAAATATACACAAATATTTTTTAACTTTTTTAAACATCTTTCTAGCATGTCGTCATACTGAGCATCAGTCCATAAAAATATGCCAAAATAAAAATATCAGGTTCTACAAAAATCTTCTAGCTTTATAAGTAGAGAATGTATGTAATCTGAATATTAATATCTTGTGAGCTGATAGTTTAACGTTTAGCTGGGCAACAAATATTTATGCTGATAATTATTTTTGTGACGTACAAATATTCTAAAATTTATTAGGCCCTTTCCTGTTGCTTAATTCGCCCAGATGATAAAAATGGATCCGACCCTGCCTTCGTTCGATATCTCAAATAACAGTTTGTCTTATCAGCAATAAATAATCAGCAATCTCTTAAATCCTTTTTATCCTTAATGAATTCGTTTATACATTTATTTGCTTCTGGTGATCTCTCTAGGCCATTTTAAGTATTAATAATAATAAAATCATTTAAAAAATTATCTTTAAACCAAAGTATCATCTGTACTGTCCTTTTGCACTAAACTATAATCTATTACTCAAAACTGAAACTTTTTTGTTAAATAAAGTGCTTTTTCTTAAAATTATATCTAAAATCAAATAAAAAACCTGTTATCGCGGGAAAAGTGGTTAGAATAGAAAAAAAAGCCGATTAGAACGATGTTACCATCTGCCATGTAAATGGAGCAGTTGTTCGTATTTCGAGATAATTCATCTTGATATACACGTTACGAGAAGCATGGTAATTTTATGACGATGATAGATGACGGACTCCGAGCCTGTTTTACTCATTTTTGCTCTTTGGCTTGCGTTGCTTGCCGTGTAATCAACGAGATGGTAAAGGGAATTAGAGTTATGTTTTGTACTAAAAATAATCATAAGACTGGGTAGCAAATGGATGTCTCGGTGCTTGGTATCTTAGTGCCATTACCGCTTTGGTTATTATGATGGCATTTTTATATGCGTGAAGTACAATTAGGTACTAACTATATATATTTTTTATCTTTAATGGATTGTTTTTATGATGGAAGGGTTTGAAAGTCGCTGTAATAGAAAAAGTATAATGAGAAGACTTCTACCGCACGGTCTTAAAATTGTTAAAAGTAGGTCGTACATACTTTTTTTATTCATTAATATTATTTCTATTATAATATAAAATATATTAAGTAAAAAAGAAGCTATAAGTTAACTTTAACAAGTACAAGAAATTATAATAAAATATTAAGACAAAATGCAATCGAAATTACAAAAAAAAGATACCTTTATATACAAAAAAAATTAAAAATGTAATAGAAAATGCTAGCAAATAAATATCTAACCAATTAAACAAACACGAGTTGCAGAGCTCTAAAAAGTCCAACGAGAGAAAACCACGTAAACTAATCAAAATTTTAAAATTAAAAAATCAATAGTTGTAGACTCACACAAAAACGTAGAGAGGTAGTATTAGAACACTTTTTCAAAAACCTACTAAATTTAGGCGATCAAGAAAAATGAGAGAAAAAGTAATACTAGAATACGATGTTTTCATGACGGATTAACAGACCAACAAAAATAAATAACATGCTGAGATACTGGTATTACTGTATAACTATAATATAATATAATATAATATAATAAGCAAAATGTGGCGTATTTTTGTGAGAACCATAGAGGTAAGGCATTATTATATGTGCCCCAATAGTCCAGTCATTTGGTAGTTTTACCTGGAAAACTTTTCGGGAGTTTTGAAGATTTGCACTTTTATAGACTTTGATGTAATCTTTCTGAATTTCAACTTTGCCACCTTGTATCTCTGCCGTTCGTGATGCCATATTGGAAAAATGGCGCCTTAAACAAGTTTTGTTCTAATATATCCTTTCTCGCGATTTTCACGAGAAAAGATTTTATATACAAAATTAAACTCGTAAAAATTTTCAACGATGTAGGTATTTCCATTTTTTTTGTAAAATTAATAGTTTTTGGCATACGGGCACCACCTGTAATATAAATCAATATGCGTTTTGTAAAAAAACTCATTTACACACCACCTAGAGTTAAGGTAAGCGAGGTGTTTTTTATCAAATCAGAAGTTTAAGGTCTTTGAAATGTGAGACCTGATGAAGAATGCTCAGCATACCATGGACAGATAGGGTGAGAAGCGAGGAAGTCTTAAGAAAGGCAACTGCTGAGAAAGAATTACTTAACGTAATCAAGTTATGAAAAATTGGATATCTAGGCCATATCATGAGAGAAAAAAAATACGCACCCCTCAACTAAGTATCCAACGAAGGATGGCAAGAGAGAAGTACGTCACAAGCAAATGTCGTGGCTACGAAATATGAAGAAATAGAGAGGCAGAAAAAATAACACTGGCGAGATTTCGCATGCCGCAAGATAATTCGCCAACGCACTATAAGTTCACGGCACCATAAGAATAAAGCGCTGGTACGCCAAAACTATTATTTTAGAGAAAAAATTGTAAACACATAAATTTTAGGAAATTTTCTTTATTTTGATTTTGTGTAAGAATGTTTTTTTCGTAAAGTGCGAAAAGGTGGCAAAGTTGAAATTCGTAAATATCACGTCAAAGTCTATAAAATTACTAATTTTCAAAACTACTGGAAAACTTTTCACTTAATCCCCTTTTTTGTTCAAATGACTGAGCTATAAGGTATTCAACAAAATTCAAAGAAACATATTGTACGAATAACAAATAATAACTAACGGAATATTAAACGGACTTAAACAACATTAATCAAAGATTTGCAATAAAGATAGAGAAAAGCTGCTAAGATTACCAAATAAAACTATATATTTTTTATTAAGCTGGAAAGGCGTATATGAAAATGGAATATTTGGACAATAAAATATAATTGACAAGAATAATCAGATCCATGCACTGAAGTGAAAAATCTTTCTTGGGTGGGTAGCATACGAAAATCTGAGAAAAACTTTTAAAAGTGCGCTGTCCACATACCCGAAGAGAAACGTATTTGATCAACGCGTCCTTTCAGTGCTGACGTATGGAGGAAAAATACTTACCTTATGACTGGAGTGACCTACACAAAAAAAAAAACGAATAGATCATGAAAATAACCAAGGTGGCTGAGGTCATTAAAAAGATAGAAAGACTAACATGGAGATAGGCAGAATGCATGAATTTAATTATATATAGATAAAGAGGTATTGAAAACGGAGACAAATGGAAGACCAGAAAAGGGTAGGTCGACCACCTGCACAATGTTCTAAGGATTTAAGAGAGCTAAATAAAAACTAGACGAGAGCGGCGCAAGATAAGTAGGTTTGGAAACACGACGAGGAGGCCTATATTTAGCAGTTAACTCTCGAGGCTGAACACTTATCGAGGTTGTGTAGTATAGTCGATCTTTACATATATCTTTAATTATTGTATTGGCTTTGTCAGACTTGTTGCTTTTCCAAAAATATAGGAAACTTTTTTCTGAGATTTACTTTGTGAATTTATAATTAAGATATGATATATTTGGTTATATTTGTGTTAAAAAATAAAAATAAGTTTATTTCTTCATTGGATCAGTCCTCGTTTTTTAAATTTAATACTAGATCTATAACTAGTGTTTTCTCTTCGTCGTATTTAATAAGTCCGATCATCTTGTATAAAGCGCTTTACAAAATTAGCCCAAAATTTAGATGTTGCTTCACATAGAACACGGTTCCATAATTTTTTAACTAATGTAGCTCTACGTCCATTTGTTTGCAATGTGAGGATCATAGTACTGTTTACAAATTCCCCAGACCAACTTTATTGGATTGTACTAAACGTAATATGGAGGAAGTTGTAATATCCGATGCTTTATCTATACCGTACTTGATGTTTTGTGACTTCTTTAGACTTCAGCAAGTTTTGTGCCAAATCTGGGCTGTGGAAACTAAAGTTTGCTTTAGGCTTAAATAATTTACATATAGGGCCTCAAAAACTGTAAATGTTTAGAAGTAATATTTTACTTTAAATGGAGGCATTTGCTAGTATTTTTAAGCTTTTATGAAAATCCACAGTGTTTTAGAACTTTTTTATTTGCTAATTTTTTAATTATATGTTAAGCATTCTAATTTTAACGTGTTTTCTTTTTGGTAACGGGTTTGCAATTCACTGATATGACGTTTAATAATGTTATAAAAGTACAGCGTTTTCTTTCTCGTTTCCAAAAAGTGAAGACAAATTTGCTCAACACTAAAAAATTGAGACATAGTCAAAAGTTTTTAAAACTGTGACTATGGTTTGACATCTATAACAAATACTTCATAATTATAGTGGACGTCACACATACTGATAAACAGATCGAGCAACAATATTAGATAACATCAATTCAACCATTTAATTTAAACTGAAATCCTTTAAAAACGAACCGTACATGACAGCTACTAGACATTTGAATTTCATATTGGATAAATTCTATTTACTAATAACACTACATGCAGTTATCTAGGTTCTAAATAAAAAATATTAAAAGTCCACGTTTAAAACTCTAACTTCCTGTATCTAATATATATGAATATCTAAATATCCCTACAATGATCTACATCATCAAAGTAATGTTCACTGACACAAACTGACAACGGCGTACTTTAGAAATCGCAGTCTGAATCGTGTAGAGTACTGTCTTAAACACATACCATAAAGCTGTTACCATTAAATGGCTTCCTGCAGCAGCATATTTCGTTGATGTATATATCGTTTCTTAAAAAGTTTTCAAAAAAGCGACTTTTTTGTTTGACTTTCAAATTAAGCTGGCTTATTTGGAACTCGTTCTGTTTTTATAAGTAAGCCTTCGGTTTGTCTACTGCTCTGGTTATTTGAATTTTGAATTTTGAGTAGTAAAGTGTTATTTAAATAAACTGTCCAAACATTTTATGTCAATAATGTTTAGTATAAACGTTAATTTTAATACTGACAGTGCAAGTCATTTGACCTAAAGTAAAATCTAACATCAAACAAATAAATCAACTACGCACGGTTCGAATTTCATATTAATAAAAGTCTATTATATACACGCCCTTATGGATACCGCTTCTAAGATCGCTGGAGCGCAAAAAGTAATTTAGATACAGAAGTGCAGATACTAACCCGTCATTACCGTGATTTGCATCTAAAATACTGTATTTAGAGTTTGCGGGTATTAAAAAAAATGTGAATATCTATATCATCGCTGGTTAGAGAATAAGAATTGTTTAACAACATATTCTACGTTCTAACGTTATTTTCACATATTTTTATTATTTTTTAAAACGAACATAATTTTATTTTGTTTGATAAATCAATATTGTATATAATTTTGTGTATAAACATTCAATTGGTAAATAGGAATATTATTCTTTAAGAGTACTAACCAATTTATCTCAGGATTAACAAATAAAGAATTAGACAGAAACAACTCTCGAAATAAGAGGTCTTTCATAGTGATTTTGTCGAAATAAAAAACGGATGACGCGACGTATAAAAATGTACTATAATGTAAGGCTGGATACGAGAATAAGAGAGACTTAATAATTTTTTTTTCTGTTTTTTTAAATAAAATAAAATAAATAAAAATAAAGACTTGAGCAATTAAAAAACTTTATTAACACAAGCATTTTGTCGGTGTCCAGCTGTATGAAAATCGTGATCCTGAAATGACAAAGTAATTCTAGAATTCAAGTGAACAACAAAAAATATTGGGCTCAGAAACAACGGTAATTTGGGTGCTTATATCATGACTGCATATTTAAAAGTAAAAGATGAATAAATAATCAAATAATGTTGTAAAATATTTGAATTTAACCCGCCGCCGCTAAACGCGTCTTCTATTGTAACGTAGTTGCACGAGTATGAGCGTCGCCCTCACCTACATCAATTCCACTTATTTTGAGGAAGCATGAACGCCATCATGTATAATATTACAAAGGATTATGCTTACATAAGGTTGGAAAGTCTAATAAACCAAAATATTTTTATGCTAATCAGCAGAACTCAAAGAAAAATATTGTGCGAGTGTGCAATAATAATTTTAAGGAATATCGGTTTTCTAACTTTAAGGATAACTACGGTTTTCTTAAATATCGCCTTTGTTTTATATTGTTATAGCCTTTTAGGCTATATTTTTTAAATTACAATTTCACAGATCACACAAATCTACACATTTGGTTTATACCCATTTGGTTACTGGATCTTTTAAAAAACTCGAGCTGACGTGTGTCTCAAACCATCTTCCTAATAAACTCCTCACTGCGAAATTACTCTGCTAGCTCGCTGAGATATTGAGTGTGTAACTATGTGTTGTATATTCACATTTCGACAAGTCTACACTGTGTTACATAGTCGGAATCAATGTATCAATGTCCTATATGAGAACATCTGGTTATTGAAAAATGTTAATTTTTGAAAAGCCTCTGACGTTTATTATTCCTATTCTGATTTCAACATGGTCTTAATATAGAATAGTAATTATTCGACGACCCCTTTCTTCCGATTTCCTTAAAAAAATCCATAAACATGTGAAATATCCTAAATAAACCGTATCTTGATCTAGTTGTTAAAATTCATCATAAATGCTTTTATTATTACCGTTCAAACGCTTATATTTGTACTCTTATCTCTATACCATCCTCGTAAATTACATATTTTCTATAAATTCCTTTATGAACAACGCGCCTGTAGCTGTCGAACCAGAAATTCAGGAAACGAAAACTAGAATGCTGATAATTCTTACTACGAATTCCTGAAAAGAAGCTAGTACAGGTAATGTCTCTTATTTTTGCCGCTCTAGGTACAATGTGACTAGAAATTAACATTCCTTTCTGGAGCTAACTACACCCATATAAAGTTACAGCCTTAGAAATGGTTCCGGGAATGTTTGATAAAAAGTGAAATATTGTAGTACGGTAAAATTGAATATCGAGTAATCGAAAATAATAAAGAAAAGAAAATGATTTTTGTCTCTTGCTTTTTAACTTTACTTTAAAGAATTTGGTTTTATTTCTTCTTCTCTTGACTGGTTTTTTATACGAGTAAGATTAAAGACTAATGACCATGCGGCAAACTAATCGATTTTCCAAAATCATCAGGACTCGATGATACGAATATACGGATAAGACTAATCTCAAACTTATATCTCCAACAAACAGCAACAGTGAGATTCGAAACTGTCCAAACTATAAACTGCCAAAGGAGTTCAAAGAGGGTTGCATACTTTCACAAGAACTATTCAACGCATATTCTAAAAGCATTTTTATAGAAGCTTCAAAAAAATCGGAAGATGGTATTACAATAAATAGACAACTTATAAACAATATTAGATATACCGACAATATTGTATTACTGGCAGAGAGTGAACATAAACTCGAAAAGAATTATGGATAATGTTGTTGAAACATGATGTTACAAATACGGCCTAAAACTGACTTGTAAGAAGACAACAATATTGGTCATTAGTAAGAACACCAACATAAATTACAACCCAAATTACAATAAACGATACACCGTTACAAAGAGCGAAGAAACTATGCTACCAGACCTACAATATTAGATACACCTGGGACTATAAATACAAAATAAAAAACCATATTGAAAATGCCAGAAGCACTTTTAACGGTCTTAGGTAGATTCTCTTATTCTCTGAAAGAACTCATTTCTAACTATCAAAATACGTATAAGAATTCTTAGATGTTACATCTAGACGGTATAACTTCGACTTGTACAATTCATATAAAAAATCAGACATCACCAAGTTTATAAAAATTGTAAGATTGCGCTGAATGTTACATAAAAGGGATGCAGAAATATTTAGCCCCCAAGAAAATCATAAGGCAGGTACCAAGGGGAAGAAGGCTAAAGACCCAGGCTTAGATATATGTAGCATATCTAACAAAACCTAAAAACCTTGAAATCTGATCAGAATATCGTAAGACCGTAGAACAGGCTAAGTCTCATAAAACGTTGTCGTGCTACTTACAATGATGAATAATAAGGATAGCAAAAGCAGAAATAATGTTGCATACTACAGTATAGAACGGTTCTTACATGAACTCTGTCTTTTATGAACGAAAGACTTTGAAAGTCTTTTTATTTTTCTTTTTTATTTAAACATGGCTCTGTCCCTTTTTTAATCTGCCTCCAGTAAGTTGTCGTGCCGTCGTTTTCGTGGTCTTCCTACTTATCGTCTTCCTATAAATTCTGCCTTTCATTTCTTTCCTGATATTTTTATTATTCCATATTGTTTCATTTGGACAACCTGTGGCTCTGTTCACTCTATTTACTTAATCTTTCACTTTTGTTTTGAGCTTTTCGTAGCTGAATAATGTGATGGCTAGATATTTAAACGTTATCACTTGTTCTATTATCTGATCCTCCAGCTCCAATTTACATTTTAGTAAATTTACTGTTATACCTATACATTTGTCTTTTTTCTGGACATTAACATTTTAAATTTTCTGGCAGTTATACTAAATGGGTGCAGCACACTTTGAAAATCGTCATCATTTTGAGAGAGTAGTATTGTTTCGTCGTCATAGCAGGATATTTTAAATTGTTTTACTGCTTTTTGGCATCATTTTTAGTTGTTACTTTTTTACTATTTCATTTAAAATTAAATTGAAAAATAGACAAATTCAATAGGGTCGGTTAGTTCTTCTTTTACATTTACTTTTATTGTGTTACTTTGGTATATATTTTTGATGTTTTGATTATTCCTAAAGGTATCTCTCTCGCGTTCAATAAGTGAATAACGTCCTTTAATTTGATCCAGTAAAATGCCTTCTTAAAGTCCATGAAATATAGATATACCGGTTTGTTGTTTTCTAATGATTTTTCTTGCACTTGCCTGATTAGAAATAAAGCATCGGTGCATACATTTCTTGAAATGAAACATTGTTGTTCTTCTGCTAATGTTATAATTTCATTCAGTTTATTTGTTATCATTT